CGTATCGTCACTCTGGTAGAGTACAATAGCCCGTCTCATCTGTCCAGCAATAATCTGCTCTCGTCTGCTCGCTGTATGCCTAGAGCAACAGCCATATCGGCATCGTGGAGAGCTTCCTTTAGCTTAGGGCCTCCATCCGCAGGCTTTACTCGCGAATAAGCGGTTGATCGTTTGATATAGTAATCTGTTGCATGAGGGTTAACAGTCAAGGCTTTGGTGTAGCATTTAATTGCGGCAGCAAAGTCGGAGTTATCCAGAGCCTTTGCTCCCTTCTGAGCGTCATCCATCTTGCAGGAGAAGTGACTTGGTCAGCGTAGATTCACTGCTATTGTTGGTGATGGTTACGTAGTGGACTTTGTGTGTTTTGGATGGAAGCTCAGCGAAAGCTTAAGATAACTTGCTATCTTCACGTGACCTTGCCGCGGCCCGCCTGGACTAGGATTGGCGATTGACGGATAGAGGTAGAAAAGGAGATGAGAAATTGAAGAAAAGGAGGGTCATAATTAATATAGAATGGAGTATCTCCTATTAAAAATTATTAAAATTATCGTAAATTAAAGTTTGGTTGATGATTTTGTTTGACCTGCCCCATCCGTTTTAATGTAAATATCTTTTGCGGTGGTACAGATCTACAAAAGCTCCTCATTGCCGAATTTCTTTGCATAAAGCCCTAGAGCACGAATTGGCCAGTAGTACTTATAGTTCGGATATGTGATCATGCTAATATATGTCAGTAATCCCGAGGCAGAAACCACAAAGAGGAAGGCTATCAAGAAAAACTTACCAAGACATATTGAAAACTCCCTCGATGCCATCCTGCAACCATTCACCATTTGGCTGTTGTCGAGACATGAGAAGCTTCATGGCGCGTTGCAAAGGCTCCTTGTGTGGATAGTCTGCTTCCATCAAAGCGAGACAAGCCCAGGACGTCTGCACAACCTGGGAGGTATGGTAATGGTGATAGACCTTCTTTGAACAGCTGAGGTATGATTCACCCCAACCGCCGTCCTCCATCTGCTTGGACAGCAGAAACTCACAGCCACGGCGAGATCGTTCACTAGTGGCGTAGGTTTCGCCCACGGTAGCCAAACTTTCCAGGCTGAACATGGCGGCATATGTGAAGCAGATACCCCAACTTCCATACCAGCTACCATCTGGCCGTTGTACTCGAAGAAGTTCGTGGTCGTGGGCTTCGCGAACTTTTCTAATATCCTCTGTTCTATAGTCAGGGAAGAATTTGCTAAAGTAGGACAAAGCCGTGACGACTGCAGTGGTGCATTCGGGGAAAGTGTATCCAATCATTATACCGCCGAATACTTCTGCAGCATTGAGCATCTCGACGTATTCTGAGGCCCTAGCAGGCTCATATTCTGGGAATCCACCACTTGGGTTAGGCATTCTGAGGAGGGTATCCACGGCGTCCTTGAGACGCCGGTCAGAGATTAGGGCTGGGTAGCCAAATTGCTTTTGTAGCTGAAGAGCAGATCGTAGACCTTCTGCGGTGCAATCACTAACGGTGTATCCCTGGGTCTTGGTGCTAAACGGCCATGCTCCCTTCGTCTCGAACCGATAGCAGTCCTCTTCTTGGGGAATAGTTTCTAGCATCTGATGATCTTCAACGAACTCAAGGGCTTTTACCAACATTGGCTTCCATTTGGGATCCTCCGCGAGACCTGCGACAACTACGGCCTGAATTACGAAAGCAGTATCCCATAGTTGAACTCCATTAGTGCCGTTCATTAACATTCCCTCGTCTTTCATCCACAAGAAATCGTGTAAACGTTCCAGGTGGCGATTGAAAGACTTGCTCTGGGGCCCATCATGGATGTAACAGGAGAGAGTGTTCATTGGAGCGTTGACAGGACCAAGACATGCATAATCGGTGTTCTCATCTTCCCGTTGGATTAGGTGCCAAACTCTGGCCTCAGCTGCTTTTACAAGCCCTGGCCAGCGCAGGGAAGCCCATACGTTAGCAAGGATCCAGAAGAGGACCTTCAAAAGTATGGATTTTGGGTGATAGTTGTCTGCATCAGCAATACAGCCCCTGTAAGACGCAAAATTGATAGAATCGTAGGACTGGGGTGTATATTTCTTCCCGTATTTCTCGGGTAAGAGAGTCTGCTGGGGTGGCTAAACCGTTTGGAGTAGACATAGGTCATTGGAAGAAAAACTTGTCGCATATGAACCCACCACCGCCATGGAGCAAACGGTACCCAGTCAGGCAGTAGCCTATATAAATTTCGCTACTTGTTAGAGCGACGTAAATCCCTCTAATGAGAAAGAAGGGCCATGTACTAACCATAACTCAGGAGGGACTGGGTTGAGAGCATCCCATCCCATGACTCCGAGGACACAGAGCCAGAATTTGGCCCAATGAGGTCCATACAGAGCACCGCCCAGCTCATGTAGTTTGTTCCGCGCCTTCACCATACGAGGATCCTTGGGACTGGCTCCTAGCAATCGCAGCGCAACATAATTCATCGCAGTGCCAAACACAGAGCTGTGGCCCTCGACGTGAAGTCCCCACCCGCCATCTTCTGGATGCTGCCGGGCAAAGAGGTATCTCTTGATCTCAATAGAGAACTCCGGCGGTACCGGGGTGTGTGTCACATACCAGGTTACGATTAGACCGGGTAGGAGGAACATGGGTCCACCATACTCGCAGGCCCAGTTCCCCGGTTCCAATTGAAGTTTAGAGAAGAACTCCAAGCCATTGGAAGCGGACTGCAAGGGAGTTTTGGCTGTCGGAAGCTCTGGTAGGTCCTAAAGTGCATGGAAGCTGGGTTAGCTCTAGTTACACGGCTAAGGGAGTAAAAACAACAAGCAAGCTGCTAGGACAGGCCTGAAGGGGGGGAGGGGAAAGGAAAGCTCCAACCAGAGGCTGACTGAGGAAATACTTGTCTGCTATAGTCTGCGGCCACTCGTCGACCTCCTTGTCCGTCCGTAGATAGTGCCATGTCTGGGTCCCACGGTCATTGCGGAGTCTCCATCGCGAGTGGTCGGTAGTCTGATCTGCCCCTGTCCTCGACATGCTGCACTCTCTGTTCTCCCTCTTGCTCCGCTCTTGCTAATTGAGTATCACTGAGTATTGTCCGCGTCTCGTCGTTCAATTGTACTCAATGCTGTGTTGGTACTTCACCACCCCCTGTTATTATTATGCTGCCTTGGCCCATCTATAAAACAACTTTTGATATTAGGGAGTCAAGAAAAAGTGTTCGTCACGTGAAAATAAGGTTCGTGGGGGCGGCAGATCTGTTGTTCCGCAAGTCATGTGAGCAGCCTTTTTCGCTTTCTGTTTTCTTACTTCAAACCTCCGAAACGTCTTGTATGTCCTCCTACTTTGACCAACGAGCAGGACACCCGTCAGTACATACAACAGCTGTTTGAAGCGCCAGGACACTGCTTGCAAGTACATCTTCTGCACTCGCCCCGCTGGCTTACTGCGTTACCCCCTTTTTTTACATATCACACCGCTCCTGGCACGGCTTGCACCAATACTGAACTATACAACTCTAAAAAGGAGCCTGACTGTCTACATACCTATTACCTGGATTTTTTGATAACAGCAACGCCATGCAGAAGACTACAAATTCTCTGTAAAAACCACTCTATTATCATACGAGAGTGTCTCTGAGCCGACATTTGCACTCCATTCTTGTTCACTGTGTCCTTTTTGCCCCTGTACCTCTTGCTTGTCTCCTAATCTTTTGTCTCGTGTGATCAGTCTCTTCCGCTTGGCCCGACAGCAAGATGTCTTCAAATTCTACATCAAACGGGCCTGGCAGGTGGCGAGGAGGGGCTAGGGGAACTCGCCGTGGCGGCCGCAGCGTTCGAGGACGCAGCGGCGGCGGTCGGGGTGGTGGCAGGCAGCTGGTGGCTGATCGTGACCTCTCGCCAAAGGCAGGCGCTGTTGTCCAGCGGTTTCGGCAGCGCCAAAAGGACCTCGGCCAGATATTCCGCAAAGTCGCGGCCGTGCAGAAATCAGCCGTTTTAGCATTGGCTACTCGCTCGGAGGCTTTATTGATCAAAGATCCAAAGGCACATATGGCCTCCAACCTCTATAGCGAGGTGCTTCAGGGACTTGAAAAGAAACTCCGCAAGGCTGAAGACTTGATTGAAAAAGAATACAACTACCGCGAGCGGAATCTAGATGTCTGGCGGGAAACTGAAGAGTTTCGGATCAAAACCCATTTCGAAAACAAGATCGACAATGTGATGAATGAACATATCATCGCCGCTCAAGGCTCATTCATGGAAACCTCAGAAAAGTCGCGCATTGCCGCAGATGAAGACCACACAGAAACAGAAGAATCAGCTTCTGAGCCGCGGACACCAGTCAGTCCCCGGTTTGCTCGTGGATTTGACAGCTCCTTTGTCCGAGACCCAGAAGGCGCTGCGCTGTATGAGCGTGTGGAGAATGGGTGGGAAGACCTAGCCCAA